ATGCCTTAGAAGAAATATTCTCCTGTGTCTGACTCTCACCCCAATTCCTGACTTAATGATAGGATTAAAAAAGGATGCGTTTTTCCTTTATTTTCAAATATACAGCTTAAAGTACCTGCACCCTGGAGAAAAAATTGGAGCCGGTAGACATTATCTTGCTTTGCATATTCATTGGCCAGAAGGATAAGGACTAACTCAATATTAGGTACCTCCTCCTGCATCTTTTATTCAACACCAAAATACCAGCAAAGACACTTTCAGCTTTCCTCCCCACCCCCCGCTTTTCCCCATCGTTTGGTCCAGCAAATTCAGTCAGAAGCATTTGGGCAAGACCCTGGAATTCCTGTAAACAAACAGCTAAGCTCTCCCCGCCAGGCACCCCCAAAGGAAGAACACATCAGCTGCGGGGTACGCAGCCTGAAATTCCTGCTTTGCTAACGGGGTTCCAGCACCATCAGCGCCGTGCTGAGAAGTGATGGAGGTCCAAATAACACGGCCTGCTAAGCAGTAGTTCAAGGGCTGCTATATGGTGGGTTATTTAAAGCAGCTCCAGCAGCGGCTCAGTTGTGTGTTGCTCTCTGGAGAGCTCTCAAGAACTATAATAAATATCCACAACTTGACTCATCCTTCATAAAACTTCTTCTCTTCTAAAGCAGCTTTTCAGAAGACTCATCTGCCCAGTATTTTTTGGGTGCTGCCAGCTTGCAATCACCTTCCCTGCTAACCTGTCCCAGAGCAAAATCCCCTTCCTTTACAAACTACTCACCCCCACCCTTTTTTTTTTTTATTATATGAAGTATGACAGCTACATAAAATGTTTTGTTGCCTTGGCAACTGCAATCCACTGTCTTCAGACTGAGTTTTAAGGAAGAGGACACTAACCAACAATAATGACAACAGCAAAAACCAGTGGGCAAAACACCCACCAAGGTCCGCAGGAGGGACGGCTTCCTCGCCTGCACCCCAGCACACAGCAGGTTTGCTTCACCCTGCACTTGAGAGCCAAGGTGCTGCAGTGACCCAGCCTTGCTCTGGGACAAAGCGGCAGTGGAAACTTGGCAGAAGTACCAGGTCTGGATTTCAAAATTAATTTTCTTTGTATAGAAGAGGTAGTCGCTTGTAGAAAGTTACAAAAACATAGATGCAGCCCTGTCAAAATCTGTTGTGTTTTGTTGCCCTGCACATCCCTTTGCGCTGGAAACGGGGCTGAGCTGAGGGCGCGTGTGCCTTCAGTCACTGGTACGGTAGTCAAGACATGATGTAGAGTAACTTCTCACAATGTATGCGTTTTCAGATTTCTTATTTCTTCATCTTTGCACTGTAGATGATTTCTGTAGTCAGGAACATGAGCTGTATGAATTGCTTTGTCTTCCCGAATTCTTTTGCTACCTGCTATTATCACGAGCGTGCAACCTGTACAGCTGGCTCTGCACAAACACCACGTACAAAGTAATCTCTGTGTACGTGGCTAATAGAACAACTATGGTCATAAGACCCCCCAGAGTCATTCTGGGGCTGCACCTCTGGGTCCAGCCACGTTCAGTAGTGCACATGGCTGTTAGAGACCCCTTAGACTACTGGGGGAGAACTGATTCTGGATAAAAGATATGGGTAACTCATTCCCTCAGTCCCATACAGGCAACAATGAAGCTGCAAAACCAGCTTTAAACAAGGAGAGTAAAATCTGGTTACATGCTAATTACAGGGTGGGAAGAGCTTTTGTTGTGCACAAACCCAAGCTGCCAATCTATCGTCTCCCATGCTTCTGCACTCTCCTATAGGTGCTGGAGAGATCTGTGCTGTGCTCGGATACTTGGCCTCAAAGAAAATTGTGTAAGAATGAACAATGGATAGAGAAAATAGAATAATCAGAGCAATTTCCCATAGAAATTGGTTAGACGAATGTCTCTGATTGGCATTCCGTTATTACATTTGTAATATACTTTCTTTCGACTTTATTACTTTGTTTCCTCTTGTACTGAATGCCCATGAAAATCCCTTGGGACTAGATTAAGTCATTATGAATAAATGATAAGAAACTAAATTTAGAAAGACTGATAAGAATATTAATTTGCAAAAGAGGAAGGTCCTTAAAAAGTAAGTGGGAGTCCTGCAGGCCTCTGTGCCACTCTGGTGTTCCCTGCACAGGCTGGCTTGATCCTCACCGAGATGAAAGAGAAATGGGCCTTCCTATCAATAATTCATGTGCTTTCAGAGCTCCGGAAAGCTCTGGGAACGACTGCGAATGCCACCGAGCCTTGACACTAAAATAGCGCAATGCTGTTTGGCTTGCTGGCATCCCAGTGAGATGGGCTGAGATGCCATGAGTCTCCATAAACCAAACCCACCCCTGCCCGCAGCATGTGCTGCTTCCTTCCCAACCACCCTGCATGGTCAGGACAGTATTTGTCTGTGCCCCGGTGCTTTACCATCACCCCGCTGGCTCCCCGGCATTTCTGCTCTGGAAGAGTCACTCTCGTGAATTTGAGCAACCACGGGATGTTCTTCTGCCGAACAGCAGCAATCCCCCCCGCCACGGAACAGGATTCCCACTTTCCCCATCCTACAGCCTGGCCTCCTGCCATGCACACTCAGTCAGGGAGTTGAAGGTCTTCTGCCTGGTGGGCAGCAATAAAGGAATGTGAGCAATTAAGGAATGTGAATTCTTCTCTCAACTCCTACCCGGATATTCCCTTCAATTCTGAGCTCTGCAGCGAATACACTCCATTAGGCTCCTACTCCAGCTACAGAAAAAGAGATGAGGCAGAAAGATCCTTAGTCTTTGCAATTTTTGTCAGAGTACGTCGGAAGAAAACATTTGGGAAAGCAATAGATGCAGAAGGAATTATCTTTCTGCAGAAACTGTCTAAGTGTGGAGATGACACTCTGCTAATCGCAGGTGATTGGAAAACAAAAGCAGAAGGTGTGGGTATAAAACAAAGGATGTGAGGCACCCTCCCGACACTGAAAAGCAGCAGCACATCTTTTCTGAGCATCCATATTGCCCTTCCATGGGGCTGCTTTGATTTGAAATGAACTGCTTTATCCTTTGCAGTAATACCAGCAGCAACAACAATACAAACTCAGAAGGACTGGCAGGGGAAGGATAAATTACAGCTCTGTGCCCAGGCAGCACATCACAGCTGCTCTCATTCCGGTTTCCGAGGGAAGAGCTGTCAGCTCTGTTTTCCAGCAGTGGGAGTTTGTTGCACTAGGTACAGACACCGACCCCGTCAGCACTGTCCTGCATGCTGCGCATGTCACCCAGGGGAGCAGGGATGCACCTTCGGTTAGATGTACGAAAAGAGAAAGGGAGATGAAGGCAGTAAAGGACACTGAAGGTCCCACATTGCTCGTAGCACAACCCAAAACCACGTCTCGCTTGCCTGACCGCAGCCCTCTTCTTCACAAAACACCTAGACTGAGAGGTGTGCTGGATCGCTACGGCCACTCAACAACTGCCTCTCCTTCCACTTCACCCATCCTTTGCAAAGAGGGGGAGGGAGAACACGACCTCATTAGAAAGTCTGACGCCACCAGTTCCTTCCGCTAATTGAGATCCTGAATATGACTACACACTCAGGTCCAGGAAGGGTAGCATTTGGAAGACATTCAAATGCTCCATGAATAAATAGCATAGCGCTAACGTGAATAATATTGGGAATCTCTGAAGGTCTAACATCAGCTGCGGAAGGTCTGCATTTATCCTTTGGTAGCTTAAGCAATATTAGACATTACTAGTTACTGTTGGTTCTGATCTCCTTGCCTCATCTTTCAGACTGCCCGTAAAGCTACCTGAAGTATTTCAGTGACTAATGACACCTTTTATATCCCTCTTCGAAGCTGGGCAGTCCTGAGTGCTTCAGCCTGAAACAGTTCCCAAAGCTCACATGTAAGTGTATTAAGAGAGATTAGTTCATTAACCTACTCTCTGGTACCATGTATCTTTATCACTTCATTTTAATAATTTGCACTAATTGACAGAGCAGACTCCCTCGAAGTCTCAAAGTTGGGTAATACATAATCGCTCTAAATCACAGCATAAACATTTTCACTTAGAAACACCTAATCCCATTACACTACTAGCGTCACTTCTGAGGTTTAACACATGAAAGAAACTGCGAACTCTGTATCATTAAGCACGAATGCTTGTGGCATCAGAACCAGACATCATTAACGTATTGAACCACTGCTGCCCATTTCTTTTTCATCCGTCCCACACCAGAAGGCACTGCTCACTTTGAGGAGAGGATGGGCAGATATCTGGGTTCCCCAACGTCCTCTGACAAGTTTCAGTGCGGAGGGACAGCAGAGCTGTAACTTGGCTGAGGACACAGGGAAGAGATGTGCAAAGCTATAAGGTACTCTGTGCTGTAAATGCATGCGGCACTGTCACCAGCAGAATTAGGGAGTGCTCCTGCCCAAAAGCCAACACCCTGTGAAGGGCAAGCTGAGAATGAGTGGCATCCCAGAGGACGTGCCTTGTGTGGGGGATTTCCTGAGAAGGGGTGCTAGAGGAGGGGCCTGCATGTTCAGGAAAGCACGACATCCCCTTAACACACTTCACCTCTCCAGGCAGGAACCCCTGTCCCTGGGACATCTGCAGGCTCACGACCTGCCAGCCCCAGCCGAGCCTGCAGGACTATCCCAGAGTCTGCAGGCAAAACCCAGGAAACCAAGACGAACCTCCAGCAGCAAAATACAGCAGACTGTGTGGAAAGTGCGATGAGCTGACAGCAGGACTTCACTGGGGCAAGCTGTGAAGGCAGGAAATTAAGAGCAAATAGCTCTCTCCGTGCCGGTGAGACTCTGGGAAGCCCGTCTGGGCTCAGCTCTGCGTTTCTCAAACTGGAGGTGCCTCCGGCGTCTGCATTTGCAAAACATAACATCCAGAGCTCCTCAGATGACGGGGTTATCAGAGTGTAAAGCATTATATATATGTTCATCTAGGCAGACACAGACAGACAGGAGGCCACCGGGAAGAGCATGAAGATACCCACTTGGTCTGATGTTTGGAGCCCTTCAGGTGCGCGTGGTACTGCTCTATCGAGTTCAGGGTGACGTTGCAGATGTTGCACGTGTAGCTGCGCTTCAGCCCTGCGAAGAAAACCCAGTCATTAATTGTGCACTGCCCTCAGCGCTGGCTGTGCGTTTCTGTGTAGGCTGAGGGCACGCTCAGGGCTGCAGCGGGAGGAAAAACAGCTTTGTGCCTGGGCCACAGACTGTTCAGAATCAAAATGGCAGCTGGAAAGCATAAATGAGTGAAAATGTCTGAAGAAAGAGGGGTAAAAATTTTTTTAAAAAGCATTAACCCTTGCCCCCAGCAAGCTTCTAATTAAATTAGAAGGTACTCAGATCTCAAATTTCATTTCCAGTTTCCTAGACATTTCTCTTTACAGCAACCCATCTATTTACTTTTCCAGGCCAGGGTATCCAAGTATTAGTGAAGCCTACAGGAATATTTTTAAAAGGCACAGACCAAGCAGAACCCAACAGGGTTCAAAGGCAAATCCCTCCTGGAAAGTGCGGTCCCTGCAGTCTGTCAGCGCGGGCATCCCTCTCCTGTGACTTTCTCCCAAAGCATCACTGCGCTCAGACTAATGAGCACACGAGGGGCCCATTTATTCCCCTGGTTTTCTGGTAGCAAGCAAATTCAGGGCAACTCCTCGTGAGTGTATTTAGGAGCCAGATTACTTAGGAACTTTGTTTTTTCCCCAAAGACATCCACTCTGATTTATCCACCAGCGTGAACGGCCACGTCTGCCGAACACGGCTGCTGATCTCAGAGAGCCAGCGCCTCGCCAAAGCTGGAAGCCTGGCACGGGTACCAGTGGCCATCCAAAAGCTGGACGCCAGGAGCTCATTTGCCGGACGGATTTACTCTTGGCTGCAACACCTGACCACAAAGCAGCCCTTGCTTTGCTAATGTTAGCCCTTCACAGATACAGTAACAAACCACTATTTACAAAGCTGTTGCTCTTACTGCTGGCCAACTGAGTACCGCTGAACTAGAAATAACATCTCGGTGGATTCACAGTAGAAATGTTATTAAATTTTGTTGTTATTGTTTTTGTTTTGTGGGGACTTGAGCGGGGGTGTTTTGTTTGGTTTTTTTAACCTTCTAACAAATCTCTCAGCTGCCTCTGCTACTTTCCACTTCACTGTCTATTTGATTGCCACAGCTACAAGAGATTTTCCAAGTAAATATACTGCGTTTTATTTTACTGCCATGTAGATTGCAGAGAACACGATCTAAGCGCAGCAGCGCAGCTGCCCGAGCAAATGAACGCGAGAGCAGGCAGCGCAGCTGCCTGCGCTGGGCCCCGGGAAGTGCACAGGCTACGTGCGTGCAAGGTTTATCTCCCGCTAAAACAGGAGACAAGTGGTGTCCGCAGCACTGAACCAAACCACAGCAACACCCCCAGAGCGACAGAAGTGGGGACTATGGCCCATCCCGCTCCCTGGGTCACGAGAGGGCAAAGGCTGCACCCTCCGAGGGGGCCGCTGGACCCACGGAAAAGACACCCCCACTGAGGAGCAGTGCCCACGGCTCCCCGTGCAGGAAAAGCACTTGGTTTAAACAGCATTTCTCTCCTAATTCACTGCTCTGCCTCTGGGCACAGATTGCAGGGGAGGAAAAAAAACCAGGCAATTAAGCAGATTCATGCACATCTCAAACAGAAGCTGCAAAGCGATTTATAAGGAAAGTCACAGAAACAGTCTCTCAGCACGTTCACTGGAAAACATCCGAGCTGAAGAACTAAACCCAACAAAATCAGCCTGTGCTTCACCCGTTCAGCTAAGATCAACTTCACGTCTGCGAGACATCCGCTGCAGACGAGACATTTATTCACCTAAGGAGCGTGCACGCACAGAACACGAACAGGAGACTGGGGGATTATAATGGCAGACGCTGCTGACAAAAGCGTGATAGTAAGAGAAGAGCCACCTTTCTCTATATGCAACTCAGAAATGTCTCCAAACTTCTGACCTTACATGACAATTAGTTGAACACAAAGCAAGAGACAGGAGATGATTTATGGATATAATAAAAATTGCTCATTTAAAAACTGTAATAGCTTTTATGTTGCTACCAAAGTTTGGTTTTTTACTGAAGATTGATACTCAGACTGGGACAGTTATTGCAGCTTTTCTTCTGATACCATCCTTTCCACTCCATGTTATTTCAGACATCCTAGTAAAGTGAATTGTCCTGGGTGGGTCTCAGGGAAAGGGGAAGAAGGTCAGGGTTAAGGAAGAAGTCCAGGGTTATGGATGCAACCTCTGTAAAGTACAGCCTGAGAAAAACAGTCACCCGAGATGCCCAGAGAGATACAAAAACCCACTATTCTCAACACTATTTATTGTACTAAATAGGAAAATTATTTCTTCCTCATTTAACACTTTGCATCTCAGAATTATAAATTAATGACTTAAGGCTGAGAGTATCAGTTCTCAGCAGGACAAGGAAATCAAGACTTTGCCTCCTCTGAAAAGCTGAAAATCTAAAAATAGGAACCCAACAGACAGGCAGTAATCAGAATCAGAGGTGAAAGAGAAAAGGCCTTTTCCCAAGATGGTGTGCTGCCCAGTGGCTGCTGAAAATGGCTGATCATTTTTGATTCATGTCAGTTTAGATTTCCTGGAAAAATGCAGAGTTCAGTCCATTTCCGAGGCATTTATTCTTAGTGCCCTGGTGCATTCCTCCCTCCCTCTGGAGAAGATATTAGCTTGCTTAGCACATGATAGATCAAGTAATTATTTACACACTAATGTTCTGTTTTGCCCTTCTTAGATGGGTTTTCACCCAAAACATTCCTCAATGACTTTTGCAATCACAGAAGAGCATGGTGCTGCTGGGGAATTTCCTCCGCACCTGCAAAAGCTGCAAAAGTAGATTTGATTCATTATTTTATCTTTTATTTTTTTTAATTTATTTCTCCTTCTATTAAGGAAGTGACCTGGGCCAAGAGATGACCACTAGCTGGGTTCAAAAATCTATTTTTTGTGGGAGAAATGAGAAGCCTCTTTAGGAACTGTGACGACAACAACAAAACCAGCTCCTTGCCCTTCTGCAACATCTGACATTCCCAGTCCCTGTGCCAGGGCAGCATCCCGGTCACTGGTGTCCCCTCAGCAGGTCCCTCACCGGGCCGGGAGGACCAGGGCAGCATCACAGCCCTGAGGGGTCAAAACCCAGACCCCAAACACACAGACACGGCTGCAGTCGCTGGCAGCATCCCCGGGGGGGAGGAGCAGGCCGGCGTGCTCGCAGG